TTGAAAAGATGCTATAGAGTTTAATGAATGTAGTTTAAAAATGTTAGAGACAAGCACTGCTTTCTACAGAGTGCAGCATGTTCTCAGTTGGACTGTTGAAATATTATCTGATCCCTTGAGAAAAGTTCTCTCACACTTTGTCTTTTAAGGATTTTATTTCAAGTATCATCTAAAGTGTGCTTTTTATGGCAGTACGTTTCAAAAGGACTGTGATGGAGCCTTAACAGATATCACCCTTCTTCACCGCCAAGGAAATGTTTGCAGGGTGTCTAGAAGAGGTCAGGGAAATATCGAAGAGCCGTCTGCTCAAACAGGAGCTCGTGTGAAGGTGAAAGCCAGGAGAATGCTATGTGTAAATTCCACTTCATCCTTTTGCTCATATTAAAATTTAGATGACAAATAACTGAGTGAAGAACAAGCCGTCATTCAAATGACCCCCCCCCCCAACAAGAATCATAGTGTCTGTGGTATAACATTGTCTAATAAAGGCAAGCAAATGACGCCTCCACCAAATAATACCTGTTTAACCCAGTGGTCCTTTTATTTTAACAAAAGATGAATCAGGCTAAATGTGCCGTGGCAGCAGAGCCTCATCAGTGACGTGGTGTAGAAGAACAGTCAATTTCAAATAAAGGGATGAACAAGGGATGAAATCTGAGAAATGCATGTGGCCACACAGCTTATTATTCTAGCTGCAGAAATATCATAAGCTAACAGGTCAATTATTCATCATTTTATCTGGTACTAGATTAAAAATCTAGTCCTCCTTAATAATTTATTCGTTGCATATGCTGTAGCTGTGCAGTCTTTGAATGTCGTGAGGTATTGCGAATACCATCTCTATGCATTTGTGATGAACATATTCAAATTTGTCTCCAAACATTACAACAATTTTGTAATCAAAGTGATTGCCTCAGGCAAATTAAAATAACCCTTTGTCACCCCGCACATCGCGTTTCTGATTAGGCCAATTTAAACTTAAGTGTTTTCAGCCGTACTCTGTTCCCTCTTCTAGCTAAGCTTTACCCTTCTGGACCCAGAAATATCTGCTGCCTGCTTTAGTTTGGTGTATCTTGTGTGGTCTACTATGTGAACTTGGCAGTACTTTTTTGGTCCCCCCATTAACAATCAGAGAACATGTTGACAAACACTGCAGCATTAATGGGCTCTTAACAATGCCCTTACAATGCCCTTACAACTACGTTAGTTATAATTATGTTATATATTGATTCTAAGAAACCTTTTTTATTAAAGTAGTGTTATACTTATTACAAATGCTAACTAAAGGGACTTGAACTGAAGTTTTAACAACAACCCTGTTTTAATCATTTACATTCATACATGCATTTTGGAATGTAATAAATCATATCTCAAAGATTTTTATTGTCAATTCATTATATGTGCAGGACATAAAGAAAATTGAAATACTGTTTGTCTCACCTAGTATTGAATGACATAGCATTTAGGAAACTAAAAACAGAATAAAAGTAGAGTAAAAATAGACTAAAAAGAATAAGAAAACTAAGTCAGACTGATTAGGATAAAACTAAATGGTGCAACCTAATAGGCTATGAGTCAGACCATGTACAATCAGTGACAGTAGTGCAAATAACAAGATGGTTGTGAGATTGAGATGCACAGTGGTGCAAATGACCAACAGCAGCAGATATGACGGTAGATAATTAATTTAATTTAATTAAATTGTATTAACCCTATGCCGTCCCTGGTAGGCGAGTGGTTAAAGCGTAGTGCTCTCACTGCTGCGGCCCAGGTTTGAGTCAGGGTTGTGTCAGGAAGGGCATCCGACATAAAACACGTGCCAAATGTCAACATGCGAGTCGTCAGTGTGATGATTCGCTGTGGCGACCCCTAAAACAGGAAAAAAGCCAAAAGTGACTTTCTAAATTGTATTAACCCTAACCCAAAGCCCTGGACACACTTTCAGGCGATCACATGAAAAGCATAACAGGCGGGTGAACACATTCACACCTACCAGAAATCTAGTCTCCATTTCACCAAACCTACATGTCTTTGACTGTGGGAGGAAACTGGAGCACCTGGAGGAAAACCCACGCAGTGTGTGTGCCACCAGCATTTACACACAAACAATGCAAGGGGTAAATTAGCAGCACTCAAAGCACTGAAACATGGAGTCTGCACCAGGAGTTGCCCCATTAAACATTAGATTCTTCCTCTTGCAGTTTGTCAGAGATTTTACAAATGACAATGCCTTTTTTGTTCAGTGCATGACAGTTGCCATTTCTAAGCATTATTTTGAAAATAAGGGTCAAACGTTACATTGACAGTGTGTACCTGTGTATATTTGTCTTAATATATCGTGAAGCTGACATTAGCAGCCTGTAAATAATCCTACACTAAAACATTTTACTGCGTTATGCAGCATCCCTCTGTGCCTCAATCCAGTCATATCTGACAAGGCTCAACTCTGGTGACAGAATGTAAATATTTCATTTCAAGAAGCCAGATTTCCAAGCAGCAAAATACTTCCTGCAGTGCAGCTGTTCAAAACACATTATTAATTTAGAGATTTGAAACTCAGCCAACGCCTCCTCTATCTGATATAATACCTTTCAAAACTGTGTACATCTTATAGCATTTTATAAAGGCCCTGTCTGGATATTACTTTGCATGCTAGATCACCCTCCTTGTCTTGCCAAGAGAAGATGTAGAACATCCATCCATCCATTTTCCTCCGCTTATCCGGGACCGGGTCACGGAGGCAGCAGTCTAAGCAAAGATGCCCAGACTTCCCTCTCTCCAGACACTTCCTCCAGCTCCTCCGGGGGAATGCCGAGGCGTTCCCAGGCCAGCC